TGCAAAAGTGGTTGCTTATGGCTTCTGGAAAATAGAGTTAGCAGAATGTAAAAACACAGATTCATGGAATTTAGGTGATCAGCATAACATACAATGTGTAGAAGTTGCCTTAGAGAAGTGATTTTTTTAAACACATTGTACTTCCCCTTTGCATCAGGCAGTTATACTTAATATTCTGATAGAAAAACTAGTAAAAGCAGAGTTAAAGCTTCTGATAGACCAAGCAATATTGTCTTTTATATTTAATTGAGTGGAACACAAACCTTCTAAAAGGGGAAGGGGGAGGGGGTGTGGGGATATATTCCACCCTCACATGTTAATTCTCCATCTGCACAAATAGATCAACAAATACGAAAGTAGGAAGAAAAGAAGCAGGGAAAAAAAGAATGTTGAAGTGACCTCTTGAGTATGTTTCATTTTGGAATACCGTGAGTACCTTAATTTCTGCCTGATTTCGTGTATCACTTTTAAGGCAGAGTTTGGACAGCAGGGCAATCAGAGTTAATGTTGCACAGGAACGACCAAGGCATAGCTCCTTTTGAGTGAAGATGATTGATTCTACTTGGTGGATAGATGTAATCTACAAGGGGTGATTGTTATTTGTCTTTCTTGCTTTGTTAATGCTAGTGACAAGAATTGCTTTGTTAATGCTAGTGACAAGAACAATTTTGTGGGAGTCCAAGAGTCTCTGTAATTGTCTTCTTCCTTCCCTTTTTTTTTTTTTTGGAGGGGGGGGGGGTGTTAGGAAATACCTTTTTCTTTTCTTATTAATTCATTTCTCCTCTCACATTATATGTTATCCACAACATATAAAATCTTCCATCGCTCTCCAGAAACACTTGCAAATCATCATTGACCTAAAAAATAATATATCAGAGCTCCTACATCATCAAGTTGTTCATGAACATCTATGCTCTTTACTATTCACATGCACGTACAACACAGAAAATTATAATAACATTTTTTTATCATGATTGTAAAAGATAGAGACAAACCAAAATTATTTTGGTTATGACATTATGTGGTATACCAATTGAGTGAATATGAGTTTAACAAGCTCCCTTGGTTATTCTATTTTCTTGCATGGATTTCATACCCAATCATTTTTGATTTACTTTTCATACTTCATTAATAAATGTGTTTTGATTATTATAAAAAATAAATAAAAAAAAAAGTACACCAAGCTCCATGCGTGCACTTGTGTTTGTCTGTGTGTGCAAGAGAGAGAGAAAGAAAAACAGAAAAAGGGGGGGCCGGGCTGTGGACACTGCAGATAGCACTTTATCTCTCCTCCGCCACCAATACTAACTGGGACTCCATAGAACAAGCAATTTAATCCTCATGCAAAGTCAAAAAGCTGGTCCATGGTTGAATTTCACTTTTTTTTTTCTTTTTTCCAAAGCACACTACAGATAGCCCTGCTGTATGCACTTTTCCATACTGTCGGCAGAAAACGTCATTTATAATGATGTTTTCTACCCCTCATTTTTTTACAACATCTATTAGTTGCTGTTTAAAAATTTATGGGTTAAAATGTCATTAAAAATGACGCATTTAAAATGACGTTTTAACTCATTAAGACGTCATTCTAAATGACGTTTTAAAAAAAAAACTATGTTTAAAAAATAAGTTTAAAACAAACTGATTTAAGGAATTAAGATAGTGGAGAGACTGGGTTTGGGAAAAAGCTCTTGTACTTTGACATTGCTTGTGCCTTGCTATGATTTTGTGCCCCCATCCTCATTCCCAGTATTTCCTCTGCCTTGTGATTCCCTTACCGGTGCCGTCTGACATGTTCTCTTGTTGTGTCCATATTCCTTACGTATCACACATCTCACTGTTAAGCTCCTCCTAACTACATTTGTTCTAGTTGCTGCCTCATCAGGCTCCCTTCTCCTAATTTTCTTTGGTCTACCTGGAAATCTTCTCAAAAGAGAAGGATCCAATAGATCACCAAGAGATGAGGGCTATTTTCTTATATCACAAATTGGCTATTTTCTTAGATCACCATGCGATCACACGTTTTTTCATTTAATTTGACAATGCACCTAAATTCCCCATCCATTATCTCATATAGCTTAGCCCCCCAACTTGCAATACAAAACAAACCCTTGACTCCACCATTGCTTTGTTCAACTGCTTTATAATTTTCTTTGTCACCAATCTCTCTCAAGATGGTCCTTTTTTCTTGTCGGTGTTAAATTCATGTCATGAACTTTTTTCTAAGTTATCATCGTTGTAATCACATGAACGAAAAAAGACAAAGTAACTCAAAAATAACAAATGTGTAATTAGAAATAATAAAAAAATAGCAAAATAGCCGAGAGCTACATACATCAATTAATAGACCCAAACACAGATAATGTTCCAATTTGCAGATTAGAGGTGAAAGAGGTAATAGAATAATTTATGGGATTCTTGGTGGAAAGGAGGTCCCATGGTGAAGACTTTCACGTAGGAAGCCTTGGAGATAGATTTAAGGATATGAACAGTATTGGAAGAACAGAAAGTATGGTGGGCCATAAAAGTAAGTGGAATTTTTGGAAGCAATTCTTACGTTACCATTTGCAGAAGAAGACTTGAAGCCTTTGCTAGTGGTAGGGCCCACCAATAGTGGTGGTTGGAATGATTATGAAGACTTTTTGATGTATGAGATTCTTGGGTTGGAATTACCGCGTGCAAAGGGAAAGTATTTTTAAGTGGAAAATTAGACCCACCATTTGAAGAAAAAATAACATTATTATGTTAATGATGGAAAGGAATAACAAATTTGAAGAAAACAAAAAGTTTCACGAAGAACACAACAAAATTCAATTTGTAAAAGCTCTAGTTTCATGTTAATGTTTTTCACAAATTTTTTTTTTGTTAAAAACAATAAATTTCACACATGCCTTAGTTTTATATGCTTTAATCCAAAAACCCTAATCAGTATGAAACTATGACAAACCTCAACTCTCGTGTGTGACAAACAATAAAGGAGGGTTTTTCGTCTTCTCTTAAATTTCTTCTTTCATAGCATTCTTGTATTTTTTGTGGTTTAGGGCTCAGTTGAAAGAGAAGAACGAAAGAGAAATAACATCACGTGGTTTCATTCTCTATCCAAGAGAAGCTTAGTTGGAGAAGAGAAATGGGAGAATAACTTACAACTATTCAGATATTCATGATCCCAATTTATATGGGTGAGGTTAAAAGATGGTTTTCTTAAACCACGGTTTGGTTAAAAATAGTTTGTTAATATTATATTAAGGGGTAATTATATAAATTTGTCATTTTTGTTAACGATGTTATTCGATAAATTTTGATAGAGAGTGTCACTGATATTTTAGAAAATCGAGGGAGTGTCTCTGTAATTAGACCAATATACAAAGGAGTGTCGGTGTAATTTACCCAATATATTAATATAGGAGGTGAATACACGAGAAAACAACTCTCTCCTATTAACACAAGAAGAATCATTTATTATTCTCTATCACTACTAGCTTATCAATAGTTGAGGTAGATCTTTCAAATTTATTAATTCGTGTGTATATCGATAGAGGTCAAACGATTGTGAGGTTTAGGATAAAGATCAAATTCATATTTGAGAAAACTTGAAGATTGTTAAAAACACATTTCAAGAGGTATCATTTAATCTTCTCTTAGATTTAACGTTTCTCCGTTTGTATTAAACATTAATAGATCTTGGAACGAGGAATAAAATATTTTTTAAATTTCATTATTTTTATTATATGATTCCTTTCAATGAATTGGGAAAAATATTTAAGTTTAGTACACACTACAAAATTCGAAGATAAGAACCTATTTCTCTTGAAAAGTCGTACATCTAAATCCTATAATGAGTGATCGGTGTGGAACAACTTTGATGATGAAAAAATCAAGTGAAATAGCGAGTTGAACTGAGAAAGGAAGTCTTTTTTAGCTGACCCAGCTGCAACAATAGTGCGTGAGCCACACTTCCTGTTAACTAGGACGAAATCATTGACATTGCACTTTAGCCCACCAGCATGCAAAGATTATGTTGAATATTTTAGGGGCGTATGTTTTTAGTATAAGATTTAGGTAGTATAAGATTTTATATTCATTCCACTTTGATTTAATGATATATTATATTCAATCTTAAACTATAATTTCATCATTTCTCTTATTTGTTTGTAACAAATATTATCTGTGTAATACATATTTAAAAAAATCAATAATTACGATTATGACCCATAAAAAAATAATTATAATTTTATAATCTTAAAAAGACAATTGTACGTGAGGGCAATTGGATCTTTTTACTCTCTCTCAAACGACTCTCCTTCCATTTTCTCCGCTTATGCTTGATTTTCCTTATTTGCTAGAAAATAGAAAACACACCCGTGACTACTGCTGAAGCCACCAATGGTGATTTCTTATTTCCGGTTGTAAAGGGCGGACAAAAGACTGGTGGTGAGCACTAATTATAAATTTTAACTTTAATTTCTTATCGATTAAAATAAATGATACATATAAATTTTTTAAATCATATATAACACTTAAAAATTCATTGCCACTTTTATATATCTTTGTGTGTATCTGTGCTGTATATATATCTTTGCGTGTACATGTATATGACTGTGTATCTGTGTGTATCTTGTGTGTGTGTCCCAACGAGAGAATGAGTCTGTATGTGTATATGTATTGTGTGTGTGTGTCCCAGCAAGAGGATGAGTCTCTGAGTGTGTCAACAAGAACATCTCCAACTTTAATTTTTTTTTTTTTTATCACAAAGAACATCTCCATTGGAGACATCTTCAATATTTGGGGATTAAAATATTATCCAAAATATATAATATCAAATATATTTTTTATTTTTTATTTTTATAATTTTTTAAATATAAATAATTATTAAAAATATTTTATATTTTTAATTTTTATCACAAAAAATAAAAAATAAAAACTAGTTATGTTTTATTTTTATATAAAAGAAATTAAAAATATTGCCAAACGTACCTTTAATTTTCCTTATTTGCTAGAAAATGGAAAAAACACCCGTGAACGCTGCTGAAGCCACTAGCGGTAATTTCTCATGGCCATGGGTTGATAGTGACTCCTCTGTCATGGAGGAGGTTGGTTTTTGTACTCTTTCTTTCTCTTCCCATTTTCTTTCTGCCGCTTTTGAGACTCACTCTACAGTTTACATCCTTTATCTCCATTTATGGCTGGTTGTTTTCTTTATTTGTATTTGTTTAATTATGGAAAAAGGCAACAAACATGAAAGAAGAAAAAGAAAACAAAAGCTGCTTTAAAAAAATTTCAGTCACGTCTCTTTCAATTTATTATATCTTGAACCACACTTCCTCCATAATTCAAAACATCACTACACTCCCTATTGTTAAACCATCTTTTATAATAAAAAAATAAAATAAAAAATTACGTCTAATCACTTAATCACTCAAATTCTTTGACATTGAAAATATTACACATAAATCCCCTTAAATTTTTTTCGCGCATAATAGACACCTATCGTTAGTATATTCTTTAGTAAATTCCATCTCGGCCCCTTAAATTTTGTAGAAATATAATACTAAGACCCCTCAAGTCAAAAATGTTATGTTTAGACCAAAAATATTCCAATCAAAGAGAGAATATTAAATATTTTAAATTTTATAACCAAATTTCATGTTCTGTTATATAATTTATTGAAATAAAATTAAAAATTAAAAATTATTTTTTCTTAAAATATCGTAATTAGTATACAATTATATTATCTATTGGAAAAAAACAAAAAAAAAAAAATCAAATAAGGGGTCTAAATTATTCATAATAGAAAATGAATTTTACAACCAAAATTCAACTTCTATTATGTCATTTATTGAAATAAAATTAAAAATAAAAATTTATCTTTTTCGTAAAAATTCATAATTAGTATACAATTACAGTATCTATTGGAATAAAACTAAAAAATCAAACAAGGGTCAAACTGTAATGAAGACAATATCTTCTATCTTTAATTGAGATAATTTGGTAGTTTAATTTGGTTGTTTAAACAACCAAATTAAATTTCAATATAATATAATTGTACACTAATTATAATTTTTTTAGAAAAAATTAGATTTTTATTTTTATTTTAATAAATTTTATAATAAAATATGAATTTTTGTTATAAAATTTAAAATATTTTATATTCAATTTTTAATTGAAGTATTTTTATCTAAGTATAACATTTTAAATTGCAGAGATCTATGTATTACACGTTTACAAAATTCGGGGGTCTTGGTGTAATTTATTAAAGGATATACTAACGACAGGGGTCTAAGTATTATGCGCGTAAAGACTTTAGGGGTCTATGTGTAATATTTCAAATGTCAAGGGGGTCTAAGTGATTAAGTGACAAATCTCAGGGACTCTAGATGTAATTCTTCCTAAAAAATTTATTTGAAATGCCAAAATTACCCCTATATAAACCTCAAAAATATTTATGCATAAAATTTAATTAAAATTCGAATTAATTAAAATTTGATTCTAGCCAATTAAAATTTATTTTTTTCATATTAAAATTCAAGACTTAAATTTTAATACACATTAAATATAAAATTTAATCACCTCAAATCGGATTTTAATTGACCCTAATTTTAATACATAATTTTTCTTTTGAAAATAAAGAATGTCTCATTGAAGATATATTTATCTAAAAGGGGAAGATAAAGTTTTTTCTAAAAGATGTCATTGACAATTTAGTAAAATTACATTATACTCATGTTTTGAATAATAGAAAGGGACTCCTTGAAGCTATATTTCTTTAGATGGGGTGTGGATACTAATTACCCAAAATATTTTGATACTTGAAGCAGATTTGGCAAAGCAACACACCACCACATACTCTGATTAGAATGCAGCCCCACTTTTTTAAACGAAAAGGAATAACAAGTTATAATGTATATATCAAGCTCTTTTTTTTAATCTATTAACACGTACCTCTACAAGGGTTTTTTAACAGAAATAATCCTAGAAGTAATTCATAATCTATCCTAACCTTATCATGTCGAATAATATCCTAAATAGATCCTACATTAAATTAGCTTTTTATATTGAAGATTGATAATTTTATTTCTCCCTCTTTTCTCCAATCTCTATTTATATTTAATTTCTCTTCTTTAAATTAGCCTTTGCAGGTTTGAAAAGCATCTTCAACTTTGACTTAAATTTTTATTCAAATTTAAATTAACATTTGAGTAGAAAGCTTAATTTGATATAAATGACTCCAATGGACAAACTCAAGTTTAATGAAGTCAGATCTTGATGATAAACGGCCTCAACGCGAGGTAATAACTTCTGAATGCTCTTAGAATGATTTAAATCCCATATTTGGAATGCAAAATTTGGTAATTTATGCTAGGATTGGAAAGCTTTGACCCATTTGTGCAGGTGGTTATACCACTAAGTTTGCAAAGGAGAGTAGAGGGTTTGCTTCAGGAACATCTTGACAGAATGCAGCTGAGTTCTGAAAACCCCCATGGAAATTCAGATGAAACAATGTCAAACAATCAAGTTGAAGATCTGGACACCAATGAAAACCCAGATTCTTTCCTAGATGGGTCTGTCATGGAGAAGATCCTCCAGAGGCGAAGCTTGCGCATGCGTAATATGCAGAGAGCTTGGTTGGTATGCTCCATTTGCTTTCTGTTGTTATACCAGTGCATATGTATTGGTTACTATGCATCCTCTTACCATTGGATACAAAAAAAAAAAGGCAATCCCCTATAGTGCCAGCTTTGAATGCCCTGTCAACTTTTAATAGAGTGGCGCTTCATTTTTATGATCCTTCTGTTTTGCATTCAATTGTTTGGTACTGTGAAAGTAAGGGCCCCCTAGTGCCAGGGGTTCTTTGGATGAGATTTGAAGACTAATGTAAGTTGCCACATCTCTTGGTGCTCCTCTTCTACTGCATCTCTCCGATGCAGTTTCTGTCTGATCTTTTTTCTGACAAAATTTCAAGGTCTTATGTCTTGATTCCTAATTAGATCATATTGATGTTGTTGTCCTTGTGGATGTAAGACCACATATATTAGCTTTATGATTGAACTTGGTACATATCTAGTTCTATAGATAATTGTCACTCAAGGTAAGGAAAGATTCACCGGTGCTCCTCGGCGTTGGATGTACAGAGAAAACAGATTGGCCACGCTCTAGTTGTTGCATAGAATTCAGCTTAATGCCCCAATACTGCTAAAAATAATTATCATGTGTTAATTAGTCCCTGTGCAAATGATACCGAGTCTGCCTAGATTCACTAGTAGTTTATAACCGCAATTTAGGAATTGGTTGAATTTTCCTTTTTGGTGGGACTTAGATTGGACGTCATCCTCGTAAATACACACATATCATTGTGGAAGTAATTAATTTCTGATCTGAGGATTTTGTTATCACATGTTATACCATTCTCCAAATAATTATTCTATTTGCATTTTGGAATGAAAGGGATCATCTGAAGGGCGGAAGATGCTAGATTTTCGGAGATCTCTCCGTGCGTTCAAGGAGAAGGAGAGGCTGCTTCAAGCAATTGCAAGGAATCAGGTTTGATATTGGAACTCATGATCTTCCCTATCTAGATTCTGAATTTTGCATCTCAAAAGAACTAAAATAGTTAGTATGTATAAATGTCATTTCGATGCTTTATAGTATTGTAATTTTTGGCTGGGCACTTTATTGAGCTTTGTTTTGTTTTGGTTCTTTTATTATTGTCATTTTGATTGTGTATTATGGGCGTCCTTAGTCCCTGTGGTGAGTTGCTTATTACTATCAAGGATCAAAATTGAATAAATCAATCACTGAATATCAAAATTCTTCTTTTTGAAGTGTTTCAAAAATGATTTGAGGTGTTTCAAATGTTTCAGTCAAAGCAATCTTCCAAATTTTTCTCTATTTGATTCAATATTGTTTTCGAAACATTTCTGAAACTTTTCTTTGTTTGGGCTAGTTGAAACTATGCACCAATTTTTTTTTTTTTTTTGACTTTTTGTTAAAGCACTTTATAATGCATAGTATGCTAAAATATTGGTCTGCTTTTGAATTTTGCAGACTCTCTGTCTGTTGGATATATTTGCAGAAAATAATCCTTGAATAACATGCCAACATGCCATACAGGCAACACACCTAACATACAATACAATGAAGAAAAAGAGGAGGATGAAAGTAGAAAAAGGGTTAGAGAGTGGTTTGGCTATAATATATTTTGTGAAGAGTTTGAAAAAGGAAGATGAATGGAAAAGGGTTTTGTACATACAGCCTGAATGATAATGTATAGCCCTTTTGCTTGGAGGCTGTTGTTAGTGTTTGTTGTTCTTTGGCTTGGGGTACACTTATATAAAGATAAATAATGAAAAATTGAATTCTATTTATCGCAGCTTCAAATGTACAAGAAATGAGTGGTATTGTTACTTCTTTTTTTTTCTTTTTTTTTTTTTGAGGAATATGATCATCATATATAAAGCTTCAAGTCTCCTCTGTTTGTGTTGTTGTAAGGAAGCATTGCTATTGAAGAATAACTACTTAACTAGTTGGTGAAATGAATCAAATTCATGATGACTTGTTTAAAGCTAAAATATTTTTGAAATTTTAATAGTTGGGTTTAATATGTATTGAAATTGACTTGGGAATTCAGTTAGAGAACTTGGATCATTCTCTCTTTAAGACTGGTTTGCTTGTGGAGCACAACCAAGAATAAGTTTTCTTTCGGTTGCTCTATAGAGGAATACATACTTTTTGATATAGAAGTTTGCTTTCAAAATACGCTTTTAAGGTTTTTTTTATTAAATATATATTTTACTTATTGAAAAATATGAAATTAAATTATGTTTTAATAAATTTTATTTTCGATTATAAAATAAGTTCAAAATTATCATGAAAATAGAATTAAATTCTAAAATTTATTAAATTTTTTTTTTGTTGTGTGAATCATGATGTGAGAAATTAGGTGGACTAATTAGCTTTTATGAAATTTATTATAAGTAGGTTGGAGACTTTTGGCTAAGAAAAAGTCATTGTAAAAAGCTAAGAAGATGTTTTTAAAATTTTATTATAAATGAAGGGGTAGAAAACGTCATTATTAATAAGGGCACAAAACGTTAGTATTTATGAAGGCGCATAAAAATTCAATTATAATGACGTTTTTAAAAACGTCATTATAAATGATAATTTTAAAAACGTTATTAGGAATGACGTTTTCAGGAAAAAAATTTTAACTTTAAATTATCATTTTAAATGATGTTTTAACATTTAAAAATTTCATTTAAAATGACGTTTCTAAAAAATATTGAATTTGAGAAATAAGTTCAACGCTGAATTCATAAAATATAAACTTCCAAAACTATCCTAAACTTCCGGCTCCGGTGATGCTCCCAAGGGCCTTTCTTAGCTCTGACAGTGCCTCCTTCCCTGCTACGGTGGTGCCCCCTCCCTCCCAATGACTCTATCCTAGATTTGACCATCCTTCAGCCCTATAACCAACACCAATAGTACCCCGAAATCCAAAACCCACCTTCGGCAACCCCTAACCTCCAGACCAGGATAGTTCATACCCCAAATTCCATCCCACCTCCGATATTCCCCACCCCCATCAAATAATTAAATCCAACAAGCAAATGCATTCTTTGATTTAAATGCAACCAAGATCGATCGAAAAATCAGTCCCCGTTGACTGCAACCATCAGAAAATTTTCCCTTTTTCCTCTTTCCTTCTGCTTCGAGCAGCCAACCATGGCACAGCTTGGCGAACTCTCTCTCTCTCTCTCTCTAGAGGGTGCTGCCGGGTAAAGGGTAGATTTATTTTTGGGGTTGGACTGTTTGGGCGTCACTGCTGGGGATTTGGGTGGGGGTGTGTTTTTGTTTCACTAGAGGAGGGAAGGGAGTATTGTTGTTCGGGGGTGGGGGTATGGGTGCTGGGTTTCGGTTTCAGTGGAGAGGGCAGGGAGCTCAGTTCTTTGGGCGTGTGGGTGGGGGTGGGCGTGGGGATGGGGGTCCGGTCCACCGGAGGAAAAAGGGAGTTGGGTTTTTTTTGTGTGGGGGAGTTGGTTTTTTTTATTATTATTTTTTGAAGTTTTATATTTATACAAATATTGAGATTAGGGTAATTGTGTGCTTTTTGATTAATTTTAGATTACATGAGAGTTAAATAAAAATCTTATGGAGTCGATTGTAATATGACTCAAACTTAGAGGGGATATTTTGCAATTAACCCAAAAATAAGACAGCGAATTCCTTATTTTTTTCCCGTAGTTAATGAGGCATTATTCTTCCAAGTAATATTGCAATGACTGACCACATGGCTTAGACCCATAGGAAACCGTCTCAGCTGTTGTTTTTTTTTATAGAGTCTAGTTTGTATATGTGATTCAGATGGTGACTCGATCCGAAATAATGTTGTGTGGTTTTTTAATGAAAAATTTTCTGAGGCTTAGTTCATGGAGCGAAGGTTTGGGCCAATAGGCTCAAGTCGTAGCGCTCATGGACAAGTCTCGTGGGGGTTCCCGAGGAAAAATTTTTTGGGTCCATTATACAGCCTAGTGCGTAGGACATATAAACCCTGTTGTTTTGGTGATCAGGGTTAATCGTGGATTGTACA